ATTTTCTAATACTTCCTGGGAATCCTCTTTGGCCCAATAATTATTTAGAAGTGTACTAAATTCCAAATATTTGGAATCTTCCTGGTTTTCTCTTTGTAACTGGTTTCTAATTTAACCCCTCTGTGGTCAGAGCACTCGGCCTACAGGACTTCAAATTTTTCAAATGTATTGAGGTGGGTTTTATGGCCAGCAAATGTGGTCTGTCTGATGAGCATACCAGCATCTCACAATTCTGTTAGTTTATACCCACAAGACCATATTACAATTTTTGAACAGTTACATTGTTTATGAAAACAATGGGAAAGGGCAAAAGAAAAAAACAACTTCTTTTTCATTTATCTAAGTATTTACATTCCTGTTTTTCATTGTTTTCTGAAAATCTTGAAATTCTGACTGGTATCAATTTTCCTCTGAAGAAATTTCTTTAGCATTTCTTAGAGTGCCAATTTGCTGGTGAATAATCCTCTAAAGTTTCTTTTAAATGAAATGTCTCTCTCTATTTTACCTTTGGGGGTGGGGGTTACTGGGAATTGAATCCAGGCCTCCATAGATGCTAAGTACTTGCTGTGTCACTGAGCTGCACACCAGCCCCCACGTTTATTCTTAAGTGATAGTTTCTCTGAGATGACAGGTGTTATTTTTGTTGTTGTTTTTGACGTTTTGATTTCAGGACTTTAAAAATGTTGCTCTACTCTGTTTGGGTTTCCTTGATTTTTAGAGAAAAGTCAGCTGATACTGGATTGTTGTTCTTCTGTATCAAGGTGCAGGTTTGGGGTGTGTGCGTCCGTTCCCTGCTTCCGGGAGGCCTCTTGTTGCTGTGTCCCTAGCTGGTAGAAGGCAGAATGATAAAGGCGGCGAACGTTGTGTTGTCACAGGGCAGAAGAGATCGACGGGGACAAACCCAGTTGACTCTTGTAAGGGTCCTCATGTAATCCTTGAGGGCTTCACCTTCATGACTGAATCGCCTCCTAAAGGCTGCACCTCTTAATATAATCACACTGGCAAATGCATTTCCAACAGAAAGCTTGTTCGGGACACATTAGACCATGGCAGCTTCCAGCAGATGTGCCTTAACATTGGCCTCCTTCTGTGTAATATATCTCGTATCTGCAACTTTTGGTGTTTCAACAAATTTGGTAAACTTTCAGTTGTTATTCCTTTAAGTGTTTTTTTTCTGTTCTCTCTCCCCTCTTATTCTGGTGTTCCAGTTACACATATATTTTACCATTTGATGTCATCTAACAGCTCACTAAGGGTCTGGTTCTTTCCAGTCCTCGCCCCCTCCCTCTCCCCTCCCCCTCCCCCTCTTCCCCTCCCTCTTCCTCCCCACCCCCCTTCTCCCCTCTTCACCTAGGGTATTTCTATGGATCTAACTTAAAGTTTTCTTATTCTTTCTTCTGTCACAGTCATTCTGTTTTTAGTCTATTAAGTGAATTCTTATTTATGAAATTGTATTTTTTAAAATTTGGTTCTATGTTTCTATTTGTTTCTTCTTTGCTGTTTCTATTTCCTTGTTCAGACTTTCATTTCTCAGCTGGTGTTTGTAGTCCTTAAAAGCATGGTTGTGTTCTTTCCCTGAGGGGAGTTAGAAGAGCAAATTCAAAATCCTTTTCTGTTAGGTTCAACATCTGGTTCATTATAAGGTTGGACTTGGTTGAATTTTTTTCTGTTAAGAATGCTTCCTAGTTTTTTTCATTCCATATCGTGTAATTTTGGATTGTGTCCTGAGTATTATGAAAGTTAATTTGTGGAGATTCTGGATTTTTCTTTTCTCTAAGGAGTATTTTTTCCTTTGTGTTAGCAGATCATAGTCTCCTCTAGACCTGAATGCACACTCTTTTTCTTGGATGAAAGTCTCAGTTCAGAATTTCTGTGGTTGCTGCTGTCTTCAGCTGAGCCACTTTGTG